TCCTGGCCCACCTGAGGGCGTTGCGGGGCCGTCGGAAGCAATCTTGCGGGGCCGCTCTTGACCGACTTGGGGGCCTCTTTGGGCGCTCCAGGGCCGTCTTGGAGATCGTCTTGAGCCTTCTTCTGGAGATCTCCCTGGGCCGTCTTAGGGCTCCCTGGGGGTCGTCTTGGGGGCCTCTTGGGCCCTCAGAGGGGGCATCGCAGAGGCCTCTTGGGCGCTATTGGGGCCCATTTGGTGGCCTTTCGGGCGAAGAGCAGCACACACGAGGAGCAACGAGGAGCATCGTTGACTGTGATTTCCTCAGGCCTTACTGCAGGACCTCTTCGATGCTTCTTTGGGCAGTGTTGCATGCCTCTTGGGGGCATCTTGGGCCGTCTTGGGCCATCTTGCCCATCTTGAGCCGATCTTGGGCCCTCTTGGAGGCATCTTGCCGCGATCTTGGAACTCTTGTGCCCATCTTGGCCGTCTTGGAGGGCATCCTGAGCGTCTTGAGGGCTTTTGGGGCGTCTGTGGGCCCTCCTTGGTCCGTCTTGGTGGCCTCTTGGGTTCTCATAGGGCAATGTTGGAGGCTTCTTGGGTGATGTTGTGGCGATCTTGGGGGCCTGTTGGGCGTCCTCGGGCCGTCGGAAGCCAAAACGCCAAGGCCTGCTGAGGCCGTCGGAAGACAACCCGTCAAAACCGTCTGAGGCGGCCTTGGGGCGCCTCTTGAGCAAACGCCAGAGCATGCTAACACCGAGATAGGAGGAGCATGAAAAGGAGAAGGAGGAGGAGGAGGAGGAGAAGCAGGAGGAGGATCGCTGTTCGGTGACTGGGGGGGAGGAGAACGAGGGATACTGAAGAGGAGGAGAAGGAGGAGGAGAAGGAGAAGGAGGAGTCGCATGAGGAGGAGGAGGATAATGATGATGAGGAGGAGGAGAAGGAGAAGGAGGAGTCGCATAATGGCTACAGAGTAGGAGTAGAAGGAGGAGGATGGGGGAGGAGGAGGAGGAGTAGGAGAAGGAGGAGGAGCAGGAGGATTGACGTTCGAGGACTGAGGAGGAGAAGGAAGAGGAGGAGGAGGAGGAGGAGGAGGAGGAGGAGGAGGTGGAGGAGGAGGAGGAGGATGGATATTCCTGGGCCTGGGACCGAGGTTTTGGGAGATTATTCTACCTTCGTCTGAGAGGCTTGTCGTCGCCACGGCTGGATTACCTTCGAGGAGTTGGTCATAACGCACGGCAGCGGGAAGGGTGCCAGGCAGATTGGCGAAGGCTTTGGTTGGCCTGGGGGCCCTCCGAGGGGGCGGGCCCAGGGAGGATGATAGATCGTTCCAGAGCGTTCCGGGACGCTCTGACAGCGTTCCAGAGCGCTCCGAGCCCGATGCTATCCAGAGCCAGAGCCAGAGCCGCTGGACCTCACCCGAGCCAGAGCCAGAGCGCCCGAGACATCCTCCAGAGCCGCTGGACCTCACCCAGTGGTATCCTCTTGCTGGCTTCGTCTTCGGTGGGGCATCCCGGGGGCGGGTCTCTGCGGGGCGAGCTTCCGAGGAAGAGGGCGGAGCAGGGCGAGGCACGAGGAGGAGGAGGAGGAGAAGGAGGAGAAGGAAAGGGAGGAGGAGGAGGAGGAGGAGGCGGAGAAGGAGGAGGAGGAGGAGAAGGAGGAGGAGGAGGAGGAGGAGGCGGAGAAGGAGGAGGAGGAGGAGAAGGAGGAGGAAACGGGGCAGGAGAGGAAGGAGGAGGAGGAGGACGAGGAGGAGGAGGAGGTGGAGGAGGGTGAGGGCAGCGCGATTTGCTCGTAAGCAAGTGCATCAAGAGGAGGATAAGGAAGACGGACGAAGACCGGGGAGGGGAACGCGGACCAGGAGGGACATCAGGGCGACGAGCACAGGAGGACTAGGCCAGAGTAAACCCAATATGCATCAGCGATGCTGCAGTACACCCCGTTCCAAGACGCCTCCTCACAAGTCCCAATCTTTTCCCGCTCGCTTCTAGAAGCGCACGCATGAAAGGTCCTGCCATTCCTGCGAGAGGACCTTCCTAAAACGAGTAGTCTCGCATCTTTCACAGCGCTCCATCAGGAATGGGGCACGGTATGACCATCCAGTTTCACGGGGTGTCCAGCGAGTTCTTCGTTGTTTCGTTTGTTTGATTGTTTTGTATCGCAACGAGCGTTCACGTTCGTGTAACCGTTGCAAATTTTACGCTTCTGAGCATGACTTCTTTCGAGGAGGGTTCAAACGAGAGTGCTCTTCTGTGCACCCGCTGCAGATGTTGAAGCTCCCTGTCTCTAAAGTTAAAGGCGCGGCAAGCGAGAGCAGTTACGCTGTTCAAGTTCAGTGTTATGTTAGGTTACACTTAGATTAACGCTCCCTGGAAAGCTACAGCGGAAGTTAAAGTCATGTTCAAGATCTTTGTCTCTAAAGTTAAGGGCGATTGAGTTCCCCGTCTCTAAAGTAAAGTTCAGTTTTACAAAGGAGCCCCCATCCACCTTTTCTAATTATTGCAAGCTTTATGACCGTGCACGACGTCAAGGCAGGAGTCCTATTTCGACAAGGAAACCGCTCCATCTTTGTAATCGTTGCGGCGAGGCGAGAGCCCTTTTCCGAAAACAGACCCTTCGGCCGTGCAAGTCTCGCAAGTTTTTAAGACGACTGTGCGCGGTGTTGAAACGACAGCCCCGATTTGGAAACGACCTGTGCTCCATCCCTTTACCCGTTGCGACCTTCACGTTTCGGGATCATGCGCGGTCAGGAGCGTTCGGGCGAAAGAAAAACGTCCCGCTCGCCCCACCGACACCTTCGGGGGCTGCAACCGGTGCCTGCAGGGAGAGGGGATGGAATGCAAGAGCGAGGACGGGGGTGGCGGGAGCCGCCCCTTCTCGAGGCGGAGGGGAGGGGTAGGCGGAGGAAGGTGGGGAGGAGGACGAGGAAGAGGTGGAGGAGGGAGGAGGGATGAGGAGGAGGAGGAGGAGGAGGGAGGAGGGATGAGGAGGAGGAGGAGGAGGAGGAGGAGGAGGAGGAGGAAGGAGAAGAGGATAAGGGAGTGGGAGGAGGAGGAGGGAGGTGGAGGGAGGAGGAGGGAGGAGGAAGAAGGGAGGAGTTGGTGTCGTTGGTCCCCGGTGGTCCCTGGTGGTCGCCTGTGGTGTCGGTGTCGCTTTCTCTGTGTTCCGAGAGGGGAGGAGCTCCTCCGAGTGGGCAGTGACCCGCAGATGCCTCTCTTCCTGCGTGCCTCCGCCGCCTCCCGTGGGCCCCGGGGCGGGATCGGCGCGCGCGTTTCCCCTCTCGCGCCCTCCCGTCGTTTCTTGCCTGTCGATCGTCCGTCGGTCGCGCCGTCCCTCCGATCTCTGCAGCGGAGCTCTCGCGTGAGGAGGATGGGGAGGATTCTCGGGCCGAACGGAAGTGGGGGATAGGGAAAGGGGGGGTTACGAAATCTGCTGCATGCAGCTGGTTTCGGCCCCGCCGCCGGGCCCATTCCTCGATACATGGGCGCCGGGAGGCGCCGGGAAAATCAGCTATGTGAGCTGATTCTCAAACCCCCCTTTTGCTATCCCCCCTTTCGCCCGGGCCGAGATTCGATAGCAAATCGTGGGAACTTCGATTGACCTTGTAACGCCGTCTCGACAGCGCATCAGCGTCGACTAATGTCGGGTAGTCGATGGGATAGCGCCGATGTAGCGTCGATTAGCGTCGATGTAACGTTGCTTAGCGCTGGCCAGCGTCGGTTCGCAAGAGCCAACTAGATGGATGGGAGGCTCCCGTGGTTGCCACCGAAGGTGGAGGGAGGAGGAACAACTCGGTGGGGCCGCGCCTGATTTGACATCCTGTACCCCGCCCACCTGTCCCTCACGTGGCGCTGGTGCTTGCTCTATCCGCGGGCGTCGCAGCAGACCTGACTCCCCAGATTGATCCCCCACTGTGTGATGCGCAATCCGAGAAGGGGGCTCTGTACATTCGAGGAGGAGGACGACGAGGCGGCGGAGGAGGTGGAGAAGGGAGGATGAAGCAGAGGAGAAGGACCACCAGGAGGTGGATGTCATCATCGCTCCTTTGCCCCTTGAGCAAGAAGGGGGTGGGGCAGGGGCTACAGTTGGAGGGGGTGGTGGTTTTGAAGTCGAAGCAGGGACGGAGGGAGGAGGACGAGGGGGATGAGGAGCATCAGCAACAGCAGGGCAGGAGCAAAAGAAACACCACATCCTCCCTTTCCTCTCCCCCCGGCAGGCTCCGGGGCCTGCAGAGGTCTCTGGAAGTTCCCGGAGGTCCTCGGAGCCGCGTCCAGCCTTGGCGCCGAGAGCCTCCAGAGACGCCCCGAAAGCCTCAGAGGCGACGTCGACGTCGTCGTCGGCCACCGCGGAATCCTCTCGGGCAGGAGGTTCTGAACCCCGTGCCACGAGGAGTCAGAGGAGCGGTAGCAGCAGCAGCAGCTGCAGCACGAGGAGGGAGGAGTCGAGGAATCGAGGCGCCGCCGCAGTGCAACGACGATCGGCAAGGGAGGCGGAAGAGGATGAGGAGGAGGAGGAGGAGAAGCGGCCGAAGCACCGATCCCAGCAGGAGGAAGGAGGAAGGCAGGGCGGGAGGGGGGGCAGGAGAGGGGAAGGAGTGATGAGGAGGCGGGAGGACCCTGAGATCCTGGCCTTGCAATTTTGTCTGCAACGGGTGTGTTAGCTCAATTTCGGGCCCTGGGATCCTCACAGATCGATCCGGCTCGAAACAATGACGCAGAAAGATGGGGTCCTGGGGCTCTGGTCGTGATTTTTGCGCTGCTGCAGCATGTGTTGCTACGTCGGATCTCGGGGGAGGGAGAGGGAGGAGGAAGAGGAGGAGCAGGAGGGGCAGGAAGAGGAGGGAGGATGGAGCGAGGAGGGAGGAAGGACGAGGAGGGAGGGGAGGGAGGAGGGAGGGAGGAGGGAAGAGGGAAGGGGGAGGGGGGAGGGGGGAGGGGGAGGGAGAAGGGAGGGGCGAGGAGGACGGGGAGGAGACCCCGGGGGAGGCGGTGCGGCTCCTGCCCCCCCCCCCCACCTTGGGGCAGGAGGGTCTGGATCCCCGACCACCCCACGCTGGCCTACTCGCCCGGCAGGGTCTCGGACCGCCGCCGCCGCGGCCAGGCTCTCTTCTCTCCTCCTACCCTCCTCCCCCCTCCTTCCCCCTCCTCATCCCTCCTCCTCACTCCTCCTCCACCCTCCTCGTCCTCCTCGTCCTCCTCCTCCTCCTTCCCTCCTCCTCCTCCTCCTCCTCCCCCATCCTCCTCCTCCTCCGTCATTCTCTCTCTCTCTCTCTCCCTCTCTCTCTCTCAGAGGAGCAAGAGTCTATTGCACGTAAGAGTGGCACCTCGTCAGAGTGACCTTTTCGGCGCGGGCTCGCCTGGCTGCTTGTGCGCTTGGATTTGATACGTCTCTCTCTCTCTCTCTTTCTCATTTTGTTTGTTTTCTCTCTCTCTCTCTCACACTTCCTTATCTCTCTCTTTCTCTCTCTCTCTCTCTCTCTCTCCGACACGAACGAACTGGATACGGAAAGAGGGGACACAAAGACCAATATGAGTTCCGGTTCATTCTGAAGAGGGCTTGCTGTCGGCGCCGCCGAGGGCGGTGTCCAATTGACACAGAAGGCCGCCTGCCCAGCAGCAGCCGCTGTCAGTTTTGTACAACACTTGCTGTTTGGCATCGTACCCAATTCGGGCGTCCATTTCTTTCGGAGGAGGAAGCGGTCATGATCATGATACGTTCCAAGATTTCCCAGGGTTTCCCGTCTCTTCTAATGCCGGGCGTTGGCTGCAACAACAAGGGCCGCAAGATATTTCTGAGGTCCTAGAACGAATTCTGTGCCAATCGCATCATGCTATAATTCGGCGTCGAGCGAGGGGGGAAAAGAGAAGGAGAAGGTTTTCTCAGCAGGCATCGGGCATCGGTGCTTCTCAGAAGCCCTCGCACCTTCCGATAGGTTTTTTTCTGTCTGCCGGGAAGGCTCAGAAAACTTCTCAGAAGGCCTCAGGACTTCCGAGCCTTTGAGAAGGCTCGCCCCTTCTCACTTCCCCCCTCGCCCGCCGCCGAATATCCACACACACACAAACACGCACACACACAACGCACAACACACAGCACACACATACACACAACACACAACACAGCACACACACACACACACAACACACACACACAGCACACACACACAGAGCACACACACGCACTTTCCCCCCGGGCGCGCCTCCTGATAATTCTCGCCCAGCCCTCTCTCTCTCTCTCTCGACACGTCCCTCCTGCCGGCGGGCTCGCCGTCGGCCCGGGCCTCGATCTTGGGTGCATGTCATCCTCACCAGGGTCTTCCGAGAGGTGGGTGACGACCAGCGGTGTTCGATGCTCGTTTGGGGGACCTTCTTGGGGCACAACGGATCCGTTCGACTTTAGTTCGTCCCCAGTTCGATTCAAGTTCGACTTAAGGTCGATTCAAGTTCGACTCGGGTTTGATTCAGGTTCGACTCATGGCTCGACTCGAGTCGACGGACGTTCGAGGAACCCTCGACGCACGAGTGGAGCCGTTGGCTACAAAAGGTCCCCAGAATGAGCATCTCAGATGTGTGTGTGTGAATATCATGGCCGGGGCCATGATATCTCCTCGAGTTTCGTGGCCCGCTCCTTCTTCCCAGGCGTTCCCTTGTTCCCCTCGTTGTCCGCGCACATGCCTCGGGCCATTCCTTACAAACCCCCCTCTTGGACACCGCCCTCCCGGACGCCCCCGATCCTTCCTCATCGGGGACCCAGGGAGGCCAAATGTATCCCAGAACAGACGTTCCCTGTACTTGGAGCCGGCTCGGGATATGAGGTGTCAAGCAGTGGCGAAGTGTCCCGGCGTGCCCTGAGGCCCACCAGAAAGTGTCTTAGGAGCCTTGTGTTCTGCCCACGAGATGTTCTTAGAACTTTTTCTGGCTGGGACTGTTTGGGTTTAGTGCATCAGGCTTGCGAGCTACGGACACCCTGCTTTTGCTTTCAGAACACGCTTGGGGGGTTCTTAGCAGACTTCGTGGTAGGGTTATCTAGGAGTGCTGGGGCGGTCGGCCCCTGCTCACAGGCGCAGCCCAGCTCTGGTTCTGGCCAGCAGGATGGGTGGAGGGAGGAGGAGGGGGGAGGGAGGAGGGAGGAGGGAGGGAGGAGGGAGGAGGGATGAGGGGGCGAGGTTCGAGTTTGTGGCTTGGAGAAGGTGTTTATTGCGAAGGCCTTACAGCAGGTGCCGCCGACCCTGAAGACGAGGACGCTGACCACGACGAGGTAGAAGGAGGAGAAGTAGGATGAGCAGGGGGAGGAGCCGCATGAGGAGGAGGAGGGTGAGGAGGATGGGGAGGAGAAGGTGGAGGCAGAGGTTCAGGGGAGGGGGGGGGGAGGAATGGAGGGAGGTTCGTTATGAGGGGGGGGGGAATTGGTTTCGGGCCCTGGGCCCGTCAAAAGTGGCTCCAGGGGGAAACACGGCACCAAACAGCTGGACCCCCCGGAAGGGTGCGAAGACCGATTTGGAGGGGATTTGGCCTCGCCTCCTCCTTT